CTATATGAGCTGAAACACAGTCAGCCTGTCCAAGAATAGTGTGAAGTTTTAAAGATGAAAGGGACATGGTCCTTGCTTTAAGTTCTCTGGTAATCTCATTAGGGCGATATAACCAAGTGAAGTGATGACATAAGATAAGGGCTAGGATCTCTGACATTGACATAAGTAGACAAGAGCTCAAAAAAAAAAAAAAGAAGAAGAAGAAGAAGGTAGCAGGAGGGGAAGAATGAAGTGGGGGAAATCGGAGGGGTAGACGAACCATGAGACGATGGACTCTGAAAAACAAACTGAGGGTTCTAGAGGGGAGGGGGGTGGGGGGATGGGTTAGCCTGGTGATGGGTATTGAGGGGGTCACATTCTGCATGGAGCACTGGGTGTTATGCATCAACAATGAATCATGGAACACTACATCTAAAACTAATGATGTAATGTATGGGGATTAACATAAGAATAAAAAAAATTAAAAATAAAATAAAAAAAAGAGCCACCAGCCCCACGTGACTACTGAGCACTTGAAATGTGGTCAGCTGGAAATGTGCTGGTAAGTATAAAATACACACAAAACTCCAAAGACTTACTATGGGGGAAAAAAGCAAAATATCTCATCAATAATATTATACTGATTATGTTAAATGATCATCTTTTTATATATTAGATTATAAAATATATTACTAAAATTAGTTGTACCTGCTTCTTTTTGTTTTAACTTTATCTAGCTACTAGAAAATCACATCTGTGACTCCCATTATAATTGTGCGGAACAGCACTGGTCTAAAAAAAGCAGATACCAGGAAAAGAGAAAAGTTATGCAGAGTACACAACCATGGTAATCATGATCAGACTGCATCAAAAGAGTACGTTCTAATACTGAAGATTTTTACATAACACACACACACAACACAGGCACGGCCATGTATCCTAATCCAGCCATCAGAACAAACCCTGCATTACTGTGTTACACCGTCAGGTCGGCAGCCTGCACTCTGATGGAGGGAGCAGGTGCCATAACCTAATTTCTCACACTCACAGCCCTGGAAGGCGGGAGCAGCCAGATGTGAGAAAGGCCAAAGCAGAAATCCGATGCTAACAACAAGCACAAGCTGAAAGGTCCTCAGGGGGCCAGGGGCTCTTGCACTGGAAGCTCAGGACCAGCACAAGAAACCTAAATAAAACAAACAGGGTCCATCCAAGGGTCTCAAATCCAGAGGGGCTTTGTAACTACTGAATTGCAAGATCTGGTTTTGTACGACAAAGCTGAAACAAAATAATACCTATATTTTTGTAAAAAAAAAAAAAAATTATCATTAGAAGGAGTGGGACAAATTTATTGATGAGACTTTTCCATACCAAATAGAAAGTCAGCCAAGGACTTAGGCAATTTATCAACAGCTGGTCTTAATCCAACACTAACACACTGATTTTATAACACATCCCACTGAAAAGGCCAGCGCTCACCTAATGTGCTTGGAGTCCCTTCATAGTAACTGTTCCATAGTAACCAGCTTCCTAACTTACCTTCTTATGCAAGCTCCCTGATCATCATCAGTGTTTACATAGGTTTTTGAAAGTACCCATTTTTTCCAGTAAATATTTAATTCTCTTGTTGCTACTGATCGAACTATCAACAATGAGCATTTTATATAACATGTTTAGTTATGAGAAAGTGGGACGCTGACGTCAAGAGCACACAGTCTGTAAACCAAAGACACCAGAATTACCAGACACAGCCTCTCGGAAATCAGCCACCAATAAAACACAGTTCCTCGCAGCTCAAAGTCTAATCCAGTTTCTATCCGAGTCCCTCCATATCTGCGGATCAGCTTGTAAAATGCGCCTGCAATCAGACCTGGGCACATGGTCAGCAGGCTCCTGGCACTGGGCAGAGCTGGTGTTTTCCGCTAGGAATACCCAGGCAGGGAACTATCACCTGTATGCTCCTGATAACATACTAACTGGCAAGCCTTCTCTCTTCTCAGCTCTGTAAACTTCCTATTTAGGATCTGTACTGGGGTGGGGGGGAGGGGGAGATAAACCAACCATTTGGCTAGTTTCCTAAACTGCCACAAGTCTCAGCAGCATTGATGGAAATGGAGGACATGTGAAGCCATCTGCCATTTCAGTAGACTGGGACAAGGAGTGAATTATAGAGACATGATAATTATCAAACTGGGCATGAGCACTCGGAGAAAGGATCTCAAAAGGGCCCGAAATGGTCAGAAATGAATTTGGGGAGGTGGGACTTGGGGGGTCAGGCTTGGAGAACAGAAAGTTCTGAGTGGTAGACCACCATGGAGACCAAGGTAGGCAGAAATATGGCAAGTCTCTAGGCCATGAAAACAGCTTAGCCACAGCATACGATGGGAGGTGGAGGACGAAAACCCCTTGCAGGGTCAAAGGAGTCCAACGTAAACTCAACACAGTTTCATGAAACATGAGTTTCTGGCCAGGTAAGGAGAACAAAAACAGTCCACCACTGAAAAATCTCAAGATGGAAGGTCAAGAAGCTACTGTATTAATCCAAGTGTAAGGATCTTGGCAACTGGGATGGTGGAAGGGACAGTGAGAAAGAGGAACAGAGGGAGTCATTTGAAAGAGAACAACAACAACAACAACAACAAAAAAAAAAAAATCAAAGATTTGGTGTCAAAGAGGACCTCTAAAAAAAGAACAAGAGTATCTCCTTTAAATAAGGAAACGGGCTTGACAAGGCAAGTAATGAACAAAGTCTGGACATGCTGAATTTGATCTGGGGGTGACAGTACACTTGACAAGCACCCACCGAAGACCAGAGATCTGAGAGAGAAGCTCCGTGCACGAACAGAGTAGAGAAAGAGAGGTGCGAACTGAAATATAAAGACAGTAACTGAAACTCTGAGAGCTGAGAGACCATGTAGCTCGCAGGTATCCCCAGACAGAACAGTCTTCCCCTCACCTCCCTTGTGGTTAATAAATATTACTTTTAAAAATAGATTACATAGGGGGCGCCTGGGTGGCTCAGTCGGTTAAGCGACTGCCTTTGGCTCAGGTCATGATCCTGGAGTCCCTGGATCAAGTCCTGCATCGGGCTCCCTGCTCGGCGGGGGGTCTGCTTCTCCCTCTGACCCTCCCCCCTCTCATGCTCTATG